ACTACTACTACTACTACTACTACTACTACTACTACTACTACTACTACTACTACTACTGCTACCACCACTACTACTACTACTACCACTACTACTACTACTACTACTACTACTACTACTGCTACCACCACCACCACTACTACTACTACTACTACTACTACTACTACTACTACTACTACTACTAAACCCTACTCTGTAACAGTTCTTAAGTCAATCAACAGATAACAAGATGATCTGTTTTTTCTAGTAAAATTAAAGAATAAAGGACTTTTTTCCTGGACCAAATCATTTTTAAGTGTCACACCAATAAGAGAGAAAAGGTCAAAATACAAAATAACAAGCAACACTGCAGAAAATTGAAGCAGCATGCACTTTTCTCTTAACGCCAGAGTTGCAGCTACAAAGTTTTGTTTTAAAAAATGTAAATCTGACATGAAATAAATGTCCAGACTCTCTAACTTTATGAAACTATTAGACTATCTGATCGTACTTACATCTATGACCAGATTTTCTTGCATAAACTTTAAAGTGACGTGCACATCCTTCAAATAAAAAAAATCAAAGAAAACATCTTTATATTTAAGAAGCTTGGCATAATACACGATTTTAAACATTTTGTCACATAAGTGGCAGATTTTATTTTGAACTTGGCCAAAATGGAACAGGCAGTGACAGGGGGTGTGAGATGTCCCGGGTTCAAATCCCGGACGAGCCCCCATTATGTTACGACCCAGTGGCTCAAAGGGAAGCAACATAAATGGGACAACCAGACAAGAGGTGCAGTTTGACTAAAAAGGTTTTTTAAAACTAAAAGGCTAGTTGTGAGGGGACACCAGCAAAACTGCACCAATGCAGCTGAGGGAGGAGAGAGCAAGTCTCCTCTTCCTCAGAGGATGTGGCCCACTTAAATAGGCTGTTCACACCTGCAGATGATGGATGATTACAGGTGAGAGTCTACCAGGAAAGAGATACACACAGTCTCGTAACACAAATATTTCAAGAATTATTCATCTCAGCAAGATGATTTTTAAAGCAGTATATTATCAGTGTATTTTTTGCAAAAAATGCATCCATGTTTATCACAAAAAACTGATGCCACAGGCTCTTTAAGATGAAGGTGGAAAAATCACCCAAAACTGCTAAGAAATGCTAAAATAAAAGGTATTTATTGGTATCCTCTAAGCTTTAGTAAGCCCTTTGGAAAGCCCAGCCATAGTGTTGTCTATTTTAAAATAAATTTTCTTGCCCTTCTTAAAGCTTATTTTCTGTACTTGCCAGAACAGCAGGCTCCTATTTTGCACCTTGGTCATAAAGTAATCCTCAGCCTACAGTAAAGCTTAAAGCTTTTGTCTCTTTGGGAGACAAAAACAGAACTACTGCTGTTTTTAAGCTCATATCATGTTGATTTGGTTTTGTTGGATTTAAAAGTGAAGCCACTTTCTTTATTGAAAATGAAAAATTGATCTTTAAAGGCTTCCTGGCCATAAAAAAGTTTAGTAAAAAATGTTTTTTTTCTGTGTATTTATTGTAGTTTGATTTTACCTGTGTAACACTGCAAACCTCGGGTTTGACTTCACCATCCGTCTGCTGTCTCATTAGTTCTAGCACATTTTAATACACATGGATAAACAGCAACACGTTTGTGAGGCTGATGAAGATCAAAGATTTGTAAGATGCTTTATTAAGTCAAACACATCGGATGTAAGACCTGCATTTGTCAAAAGACTCCTTGATGCTTCTTTGAAATTATAGCTCCTGATTATGTAGAATATTTGCTTTGTTGTCTTCATGAAAAATGCACCTCTGATCACTTTGACTGCTTTCTTCCCTGGACACATACAATTTAGAATTAATTAATTTACTCGAGTCAAACCTCATTTTATAAATTGTGGTATTCAAATCATAAAAGAGGCTGTTAAAAWAAACTGATTTAAATAGAAAGTATAAAATCTATGGTTGAACGAGGTGAAAAAAACTTTTTTAAAAAAGTTACATTTCTCTTTTCACTGAATCATTTTCAKGATGCTGAAGGTCCCAGTGTGTTTGCAGGCTGGGCCACTGACAAGAATCAAAACAGATCAATGTTTCCAGTGAGTTCTCAGGGTGATGACAGGCATTAAGTTTTTTATTATGTTTTTATGGTGAAGAAATTCAGCAGAAGCCTAATGTGACCAACTGCCCTTTTTAAGATACTTGTAGTTTTCCAAAGGCTGCTTGATAAAGAAAATTATGCTTTTATGCTTTGTTTTGGTTGGTTTGATTTATTTTCAGCAGTGTGTGTTTTTTTTCTTTAACCATGTTTTCACAAAAAAAACTCATTTTGGAGAGTAGCGCTTAAAGTACATCCGCTGAAAGAGATGGCATTGACTGCCGTTTGTTGCAAAGAAAAAAAGGAGAAACTTGTCTCTTACCTGAAATATCCAATGATCATGATGGCCACCAGCAGAGAGCTGAAGGACACGGCRTAGCCAGTGGTGTACATGATGTACAGCCGCTCGAAGAAGTCCTGCTGTGAACGTACAGCAGAAATTTATTTCAGAGTCAGAAATTACATGCATCTGCAGAGATGGAAAAAGTGCTGAGAGGCCAACTATTTCAGCTGCATTACATAAATCAGACATTTATTCAAAAGCTTCCTAATGGAATATTAAGTGCTCCTGAACTTTATCAAACTGCACACTCCGTCGAGGCAAAATGCAACACWGCCGGAATAAAATCAAGCGTTTGACAGCCCTTGGGTGAACAACAAAGCTTAAAATCAAGGAAAATGTCTTCAAGTAGCTGTATTGAAATATTTCTTTTCATTTCTGACAAACTTTACAAAAACTACTAAAAACAATTAAATAAACTTTCTGGATCTGAGTGAGCAAAGCCTGCAGGGATTTAACTGTAAAAGCATGAAGCTGTGATTGATGTCAAAGTTGTTTTCTGATTTTAAAAATTGGTTTCAATAGTGTTTAATACATCATCTTGATGTGTAATGACTGAATATAAATAAAAAGAAAAAAATGTAGTTGATTATTTTCAGAGAAAAATTTAAAATGTGAACATAAACAGAATATTCAACGAACTCTACAACAATCAGAACTATATATA